CCAAACAACATTGCTATCCAAATTACAGGCCACTCCCATCTGATGGCATGACTATAAATAGCTGAAATATCAAAAGTCCTATCAATCATTTTTATGCATAAAAGGTTTAGATCTAGTGAATCTTGGAAAAAACAAAGCATTATATCAGATTGTCATTTCACCTATACTAAACTTACACATTTTTAACTTTGTAAACATTTCTACAAAATTTAGATTATGTTTAGATATATAGCTTTATGTATCTTCAGTTATATACAACAACTGTGTTACTTCTTTAGCCACAATTATGAAGAGGTCATTTAGAAGACTTGACTTAAGCAGACCCTTAAGTGAACTTTTATTTAGTTTAGACTGTTTCCTCAGTAATCAAAACTCTAACAAAAATCAACAGAGAACATAAGTAGTTATCTTGGTAAAGCAAAAATCTCTTCTCTAAGTGACTTCTTAGTAATTTTATTAAATGCATAGCATTATCCTTAAGACAGCCTTGTTGTTATAGACATAAGAGAATTGGTTGTTACTTTTACATCAATGTATTGAATCATTCAAGTAATCCTTAAATAACTTTTATTTTCCTCTTTTTTTTGTATTTCAACTCCATTATTTCAAGCCAAATATATTTTGTGTAGAAACACTAAGAAACACAAATATGGTAGAAACAGAACACTACTGCATCGATGCATAAATTATCAAGAAAATATTGTGAGGATATTAAATACAAAATTTATTTCTGAAAGCTGTTCAATAAGAGGGAAAGATGGAAAGGGCAAAGGAACACAATAAAGCAGTTAATCTGACTAAAGTATAGTATACTCACAGCTGAAATATCTTCAGAAAATTCCTTCTAACATGAATATGAACTAAAAATGAAGGACAGGATTGTAAAACAGGTTCTGTGAGAGGGTGGGTGTTATGGGAAGGGGTAGGGTGAAAGGAGGGTAAATGTAGTTAATGTATTTTATATACTTATATGAAATGGAACAATGGAAACTGTTGGAATTTTTTTCTTTATTCACTTATTCATATGTGCATACATTGTTTGGGCTATTTCTTCCCCCTGCCTGGAATTGTTTTAAGTAGGGGGAAGAGAATGAGGGAGAGACATAGTGGGAGTGAGCCTAACTAAGGCATATTTTAAGCATGTATGGAAATGTCACAATGAATTTTCCTTATACAACTAATATATGCTAACAAAATGTTTAAAAAACTTTACTAACATAGCAGTTGTTTAAAACCACAATATTTTCAAATATGGCTAAAAGATACTAAGTCTTAAAAGACTGTATTTTACTCATTTCTTCTTGAATTTTTTGAACTTTGTATATTTTACCCATTCAGAAAAAATTTTAATACTTTATTTTTATTATTGCTGCACTGGGAGTGCATTGTGACATTTACAAAATTTCTTATAATTTGTCATAGCTGAATTCACCCCTTCCCTTATTCTCCTTTATTCCCCTCCCTCATTCCTAGAACAGTTTCAACAGATCTCATTTTTCCATTTACATACATGTGTAGAATATTTTACAACCATAGTAATCACACACAAAGCATTTCATAAATATATGGAACTTAAGACCCACTCATACCCTTTCAACTTTTTCTGATCCTCCTAGTTTTTGTACTATCCTGTTTTTCTGATTTGAAACAATCCTTTAGGACAAAGTTTACTTTACAAAATTCTGTCTTATCCCAAAGTATTTTTCTTTCCCTTTAACTTTTTAAAAAATATATCTTCATCCTCTTTACATTTTTCCTACCTACTGATTCCTTTTTGTCTTTTTTTAATTTGCATCTTGAAATTAGACAATTTTTTCCCCCAAAATAAAATCCTTAGTAGCCTTAGCATTTCAATGCAGATAAAGGAAAAAAGCAATCTTAAAACTGTTTTAATATAATAATTTACAAAAACATAATTGTTAATAGACCTATGTATTTTAAGAAACAGATTACTATCATTTATCTGAGCAACCAAATTTTAAGATGCTTTCGGAGGCTTTGAATTTTAAAGTAGCCACTTTTTCCTTAAGTGTTCATCCCAGAATTAATTCCTAAGTACTCATATATCCATTATACCTGACTTAGATAAGAATACCAAGTTTTTACAGTGAGAACAGTTTTTGTTTATTAGCATTAAAAGTCATCCTACTGACATTTATACACATATACACACATGCACAAAAAATTTTAAATTAGGCATGCCAAGACTAAAGTGTGAAAAAAATTAAAATAAAACCTGAATGTTGGCTATAGTAACTAGCCAGTTGTCTTCTAGAATTCCAGGGACAAAAGAAACTTTTGCCCAATGTTTAATAGTCTACTGCACACATATACACAAGAATATTAATTTAGAGAACTCTTAAAACTTTTAGCCATAGGTTAATTACAATCCTCCTTAGTATATGTTTTTCAACAAAAGACTGATTGTCATTCAATCAGGAAAAAGTCACTTAAAAGTACCTAAGGAATAAATTTACTTTTATTTAAAAAATATAATGTGAATGAGGAATTGAACCCCAATCTCATAATTTACCTTTCTTTATTCTGCATTTTCACATACTTCCTATTACCACATAGATTTATTGCTCAACCAATGTTTTAATCCATTTTTCCACATCTTCTAATGAAAATACAAAACTTATCTACCTATATATTCTTTCCTCTATATTATTGGAGGTTTTGGTTTATTCTTCTATCTGTGCTAATGATCTCATGGACACAAATAATAGCTGTATACAAAATGTTAGGTAGAGATTTGGGGTCTCAAAGGAGAATCCAACTTTTCAAAGCATCAAATTAAGTTTATGCCTTTGAGGATCAAAAAATATTTTAATTGGATCTTTAAAGTTATTTTTAAAACTCAGGGGACTGTAGAAAATAAATACATTACAATTCTTCCCACTTTGCTTGCATAGTAAATATATGGTGGGAAAACATTTACAGGTAGGTTCCTTTCTGCATTTGTAAAATAGAAACACATCTTGTGTTTTGTGTGGGGATTAATATCCCACTCCAGAGACAAATATTTCCATGAAGGAAAGAATTGAGCAGTAATTTTTATGCTCACATCATATTTTCACAAAAATCAGATCTTAGAGAGTAGATCAAATTGATGTGGTGGATACATTTTCAAAGCAGAGAAAACAATTCTTTTTGCCCATTGTTATTTTTTGGTTTTGTTTTTCTTTTTCCTTTGTTGTTTGAGACAACCTCTACCTATGTAACCCAGACTAGCCTTGAGCTCACAGCAACAAATCAGAATAATATAGTACAATTTCTCCCAACATAGTCTAATTGATTGTGACAAGAGCAACCAGTTGACACCCATCTCTTCACTGAAGATCAGCAACAAAAGTTTCAGAATTAAGAAATGATGCTAATCTAAGACTCAGAGTATTTGATGATGAAATATTGCTTTTGGTGTCTGGAGCTAAAAATATTTAATAACCTCAACTTTTAAAAGTCAATGTTATAAGTTGGAAGTCCTCATATGTGTTGTTGGGTGATCTTCCAGGTAAAGACTTTTTAGTTTTAAAATAACTTATCCTGCCTCTTTTGGCAGTAAAGAAGGTGAGTTACTTTCTCAATTTAATAACTAAAAATATATTTGGAGGTTTTGTGTGTGAACTAATGTATCACACCTATGTGGAAAGTATTTTCAATTGACTTTGATCATTCTCTATTCATATATAAGAGGTTTGGGATTCTCTAAAGAATCCATTATTCTATGTAAGCTTTTCTGATATATGTGTGAGAAACAAACAATGCCTTAGGATGAAACACTTGAGGTCTGATTTGTATATTCATAGCATATTTTCACAAAAAAATCATGAAGAGTAGATGAAACTGGTACTGAAGCCACATTTAAAGGTCTCTGGTTCCCTAGACAAATATTGTCATGAACATGTTAGTGAAATAAAAAATGTCAATGAAGAAATCCACACTTGTCTCCAGATAGTTGTAATGCTTATTGATTGTTCAAAAGTTAACTGGTCAGGAGACCTTCTCTATCATGTAAAAGCATCCCACTTTCATGTTTTTCTTCAGAACTGTGGTTTCATTTATTGCATTGCATCTTTTCTCTGTGTTTACTGTTCGTTCTCTGTTCTTTGCAGTGTGTGCTATGTGAGGGTGAAGAATGAGTTCACTGCAACAAACTCTTACTATAACACAGGAAAAAAATCAACCTTACACAGTGTACATGAATAAATGGGTAAATATATTTCCAAATAGAGAGTAATTCTTGTTAATGTGTTGTTCCTGGTTTTTAGTTTTGTTTTTGTGTTTTTGAGACAGGTTCTCCTTATATAACAGAGTGTCTTTGAATTGCAATACAGCCCAGCTGGCCTGAAATTCTCAATACTTTTTCTACTACTTCCCAAGTACTGGGATTATAGACATGTATTACTATACATGGCAGAGAACGATTCTGGATTCTGAATCTTCACTATCATGTATCAAAAGATGAGCTTCAGAAATTCATTACCCTTTGAATGAAGTCGGAAAACTATTAATTTTAATTTAAAGTGCTGTAGTCAGTGTTCATCATTTATTCTTCACCAAAAAATAGGACATTGTAGCTGTGGCTCCCGTGAAATCAACCATTTCTGCTGTGCTGACCCTCCTTTAATAATGCTGGCCTCCTCTGCACCTATATAAAAAAGATGACGATGTTTGCAATTGCTGCCTTTACTCTCTCAAGTTCTCAAGTTTCAGGGAACCTGAAAATCAATCAAACTACTTTCATTGGTCCATTTGCATGATGAAAATAACTTGCTGATAGGCGACTTTGTTTTAATTATTCTTAACTTTGGTTCTCTTTTTCCAAAAAGTTTGGGAAAATATTGAATGTAGAAGTTGCTAAATATGCAGATATAAATGAGTGAATATATGCAAAAATACAAGTAGTATAAGAAAATGTCCTCTCTAAACCAAACTGCAGAGATGGAATTCATTCTCTTGGGTAAATGATAAAATAAATGGAATAAAAGCAGAATCTGGATCAGAAAACACTCCTCATGTTGTCTGTCATTTTCAGTTTCCAACGGATAAGAAAATGCTTTCCCAAAATCAAACTGCAGTGATAGAATTCATTCTCTTGGGACTCACAGACAGCCCAGTGCTAGAGAAGATCCTGTTTGGGGTGTTCCTGGTGGTCTACCTGATCACACTGGCAGCAAATCTGTGTTTGATCATACTCATCAGGACCAATTCCCACCTCCAAACCCCCATGTATTTCTTCCTTGGCCACCTGTCCTTTGTAGACATTTGCTATTCTTCCAGTGTTACTCCAAGCATGCTGTACAGTTTCCTCTCAGACCAGAAGACCATTTCCTATGCCGGATGCTTCACACAGTGTCTTCTCTTCATTGCCCTGGTGATCACTGAGTTTTATATGCTTGCTTCCATGGCACTGGATCGCTATGTAGCCATTTGCAGCCCCTTGCATTACAGCACAAGAATGTCCAAGAATGTTTGCATTTCTCTGGTCACCTTTCCTTACATGTTTGGCTTCCTTAATGGACTCTCTCAGGCATTGCTGACTTTTCACTTATCTTTCTGTGGCTCCCGTGAAATCAACCATTTCTACTGTGCTGACCCTCCTTTAATAATGCTGGCATGCTCTGACACCCATGTCAAAAAGATGGTAATGTTTGTAGTTGCTGGCTTTACTCTCTCAAGTTCTCTCTTCATCATTCTTCTGTCCTACATTTTTATTTTTGTGTCCATTTTGAGGATACATTCTGTTGAAGGCAGGCACAAAGCCTTTTCTACTTGTGGGTCCCACCTGACAGCAGTCACCATATTTTACGGAACGCTTTTCTGCATGTACTTAAGGCCTCCTTCAGAGAAATCTGTAGAGGAGTCCAAAGTAATTGCAGTTTTGTATACTTTTTTGAGTCCAATGTTGAACCCATTGATCTATAGTCTAAGGAATAAGGATGTCATCTGTGCTATGCAGCAAGTGACCAAGGGTCAGTTCTTTAAAAGAACTGCAGTTTAGTTGTATGTTCATTTGTAATCACTAAGTTTCTGTGGTGTCTTAGTGAATCCTTTAAAAGATAAAACTAGTACATTAGTGTCATGACTTGTTTATCATAGGGAACTGTTAATTGCCAATTTAGTTAATTGCTTCTAGAAAGTCTTTAACACAAATTATTTTCATAAAAATAAAATACAAAATTGAATAAATATTGCTTATCAGAAAATCAGAAAATGCATTGGTTAGCACTTAATAATTCCATGCACTGCACATGAATAAATGGGTTAATACATTTCCAAAATAGAGCGTGATTCCAGAAAGTAAATGACTTATCCAACATCACTCCTGGACAAGATATCACAAAGGCAAATCTTTCAATTTCCAATCTCTCTTTTTCCTTTTTTTACTGGCCAATTTGAGTCAAACTGGCTTTTTATTTAAAAGATTATTAGAAAAGCTATTTCATCATTTACCAAGTAAGAGAACTTAAAACTTATCTGCCACCTGAGTGTATTTTCCCGGATTTTAAAAAATGGTTCCTCCCCTTCAACCTTTTACAATTATCTTGTTCACACATAATTTGATAGTAAGTTCTTTCAACTCATCTTTGGTGACTCATCTTTTTCCAATTCATACTCAAACTGAGAATGAAACACTGATGAAGTTACTATTTTATATTGAGTTATGGTGATTGTGATGATAATGTTATGTACCCTAGTAATAACTAATGTCTCTTTCTCTTGAGATTTCAAATTAAGTTATTAATTTATGTGCCTTACAAGCAGAATTATTGTTCTGTTCCTTATAAGAGCATGTAAGATTGATTTATGGTAGACCTATACTGACCACTTCTTAGTCATCTATTTTCCAAATAGCATGTTCATTATGAAAAACTAGAAAATAAAGATATATATGAAGAAGAAAGTTTATTAGTGAAATTGTTTGATTCAAAGTGTAACTTGTAATCTTTTGTCTGGTCTTAATTAATTTATGTATATGTGTGTTAGTAATTTATAAAACAAACTTTGAATCATATGCCACACATGAATTTGAACATGTATTTTAAATTGATAATAAAATGTATACATTTTCACCTAGGTTAAAGTTGTAGTAAATACCATTTGTTGTTTAGGATTATAATTTACTTATATTGATGATAATTGCAAATATAATACATATCATTTACAGAAAAACAAATTGGAAAATACTGAAAAAGATAAGAAATAATAACAAAATTTAATTATAATATCTCACCTAAAGAGAGCTGACATCAGAATTTGATATATCATATTCCATTTGGTTTATCTTGAAAATGATACCATTTTATTTATGTTTCCAATTATTTTTATAGTGGATTCATTTCTTTTTATACATAGCTCTCTGATTTTTCATTTAAGTTACATTCCCAGGAGCAGATTTATTGATTTAAATATTCTGAATATTTTTAAAACTTTGAAACTTTTTCTATGGATAAATTTTTTTCCAGAAAGCTTCTAACAATTTGTATTTATGGCTAGTAATATTTGAAGGCAACTCTTTTACTGAAACTTTTATCAATATTAGGAAATACTATTTAAGATTATCAGCTATTTTTATGTCTCAGATGAAATTCTTAGGAAAGAATCTTTTTAAAATTGAACAAAAGAATATATATTTAACAAATAAATGATATCTGTCAGTTTGATAATTGCCTTTCTTTCTTTTTATGATTCCTCACATAAAGAATATGTACATCATGATTTTGAAAATACTAATCTTGCTCATTTGGAGCATTTACTTATCATAAAATTAAACAAGAACTTACATTGGAATATAATTTTACGGTATGTTTTTATTTACATGGAAGTATTCACTTACATCTTTAAGAAATTTCTTCCCATCATTTTTTAAGCAGGGCTTTGTGTTCCAATGATTACTAATGTCATCTTTGTTCTAAGCTAAATAAATCCATATTTGCTCTATTTCTTATATACCTCTGAGCACACTACTAATTTATTTTGAACTAAATTCTCAAAATTGATTTGGATTTAAAGTGAATCTTAATTTCTGAAAGAGAAATTCCATCTTTTTTTTTTCTCTTCCAAATTTCTCTTAAGAAGATGTCAATTAGATGCTCTAGTAATTGGGTATTTCTAACCAAATAACTACACATACGATGGTTAATATAGAAAATATATCTTAAATTTAAATGTGGTTGTGCATGTGATACATTAGCATTGTAAATCATACCAGAAATGTGGGAAATATTTTAATAGTAACATTGTTATAGCACAGTCCCTCATGTTCAATGGGAGATGTGTGGAATGGGAGGTCAAAGAGAGCTCTTCTTAGTGATGAAAGAATATAGACGAGTTAAGTTTATTTGCCAGAAAGACAGAATTGCTAGTGATCTATACACAAGAAGAAACACATTTAATGTGGGTACAATGATGCTATCAATTTAGTAAAACTATTTGAGAACTTTTGTTTCTGCCAGTCTCAGTGCCCATTAATTTAGTAGTACAAATTTGTGGGGTAAAGTGTGATATCTTGACATTGTGGGGTAAAGTGTGATATTTTGACAAATGTATATAGTAAGTAATGTTCAAATCAGGGTAGTTAGCATTTCCATCTTCTTAAACATTTAAGCAAATTTTTGATTAATACAACTTTGTTTTTCTGTCTGGTGCTGGGATGGAACCCAGGTTTCATGCATGTGAAGCAAATACTGTACAAATGAACTACATCCTGAACTTAACTATGTGGTCCTTTTGCAAGCAATTTTCCCTCAGAAGATATGACATATGAACAGATACTCCTAAATTGTGATTCCTCTCAGGCATAGAAAAAAATGTTGTGTTAATGAACATTAAAACAAACGCTAACTAGTAAAATGACATCATTCTCATCATTTATGGATACTTTCTTTTCTGTTTGGTAGGTGCCTGCACCTTATTTGTCATTACACTTTAGGCATCCCTTGCTTTGTGTGATTCTCTGGTGACTAAGGACAATGCATAGACAGATTTTGGTTAACAGAATATTATGCAAAATGAGAGTTATGTGTAATCTATATATTATGTGTTTTTAAAATTCAATTATGAAACAAACATTTTCATGAAAATATTTAGGCAAGTTTCTAATTAAGCCATCAACAGATTCCAAAATTGAGGTAGCTTAGTGAATAAGTCCAAATATTTTTAATTGCTTAAAACATAATGTTAGATAAACTTCCAAAAAAGTGTATATTATTTTTTTCTGAAAAAAATCAGTGTATGAAAGGGAAATACCAAGGTCACCAGGAGTAGTTAGAGGTTGCCAAGGATTTTTAAAAAGTGTTTTCAAGTATGACCAAGAATGCTGACATTTAGAAATAGGTAAGAAGATATAAATATCTAACCTCATTTTTTTTAAAAAAGAGTGCAACTGTGGAAATCTATCTTTATATAGTAATTGATCAGAAGCAGGAACTTGTACCCATCCTTTAGACGGGTAAAATGTTACCTAAGTATTAAAAGTAAGTTATATATCAAAATGTCTTTTATCAATGTTAAGTTTGATAATGCACTTTTAAAAAGCTAATTTCAAATATTTTCATATAATCTGGGACACACTTATGCTGTAATTTAGTTGGAAAACACTCAAACCAAGTTTTCACACATATTACTATTAAAATAATTTGTTGGTAGATAGATAGAAAAATTACATAACTAGCAATTACTAGTAATTTCTAGGGACAAAATTATATAAATCACATGTATATAAAAGGATAGTGATAAATCAGAAGATTTATCATAAGAAGGTAGTCTGCTTAAAGGATATTAATGAAACAAATCATAGGGCCTTAAAATATGTGAGATTTGACATACCTTGTTGAAATAATAAGACATGTATGGTTTTAAATTCAAGATAAATGAAAACAAAAGTTGAACAAAACTAAAGTGAGAAAAGCATCTGAAATTAGAAATATTTCTTTCTTTTAAGAGATAATCACCTCTTATTAAAAGAAACTGCAACACATCCCATGAATGGAAATCATATCTTATGCATAAAATATCTTGTAAATCACTTCAACTTGCTCACATGACTTTTTCAGAGAGACTTGGTATTGATGACTCGGGAAGTGAATGGAAGAGTCTATCTGCTAAGGAATCAGGTAGAAAAGAATTATTGAGTGTGATAAAACACGACCCCTCTTAATCATGAAGAAATGATGTCTGCCATTGTGTTTCCTATCAATAATCATTTCCAGCAATGTTCACATTCATTATTTCCACTAGACTCCCCCTTGATTCCTAACTATGCATATACAAAAATATATTATATTTATTCCAGAGAATTGCATTCAGGTAGAATAAATAAGAGAAACTTTTTAATTTTTAAAGACATTTCTATTGGAGACTGTAGGCATTGAATTTTTCTCCATTTTACCAAGGTTGGTCATAAACAGTTTTCTCAAAGCCTGTTTTACATCATTGTTTCTCAGGCTGTAGATGAATGGATTCAGCATGGGACTCACAAAAATACAAAACACTGACACAATTTTCCCTTGCTCAACAGACTGCTAATTTGCTGGTCTCAGATACATACAGAAGAGGGAGCCATAAAACATAGCGACTGCTGTCAGGTGAGAGCCACAGGTGGAGAAGGCTTTGCGTTGTCCTTCACTGGAACGGATCCTCAAAATGGTGATGAAGATGAAAATATAGGAGGTGAGGGTAATGAGCAGGGAACCTATGAGATTGATCCCTGCGGAAACAAACAGGGCGCTTTGCTTTATGTAAGTGTCAGAACATGTCAGCATTAACAGCGGTGGGTCAGCACAGTAGAAATGGTTGATGGTGTTAGGTCCACAAAAGGACAAGCGAGAAGTCAATATTACCTGCATTGTTCCTACCATAGAGCCCCAGAGGTAGGGAAAAGTGACCAGGCAGATGTAAACTGGCCTACACATGGATGCTGCTATAATTAGATCAGGGAATAAGGCCAATAGGTGATGATTCATAGTCTGGTTTTTCCATTGTCATCAAAGTAAACCTTCTGTAAATGGGGGAACAACATATTTTGTGAGAGTCTACTGTGTAAGCTGTTTACTGGCGGATCATGGGTGACCAGATCCATAAAAGAAGAGGGAACTACTGAGTCCTGCTTAATAGCCACTTTAATGAAGCATACTATTGCTTTTATAAACTCATTTTACACAGAGAGCATTTGATCAGAAAAAGCATGCCAAGTGTTAAGTGTCAAGGTTACATTAGTACAGGGAATCACAGTCAGAATTAACTCTTTTTTTAAAAATGGGAACGTAGAAGTAGGAGAAGCACATGGTCAGCATAACCTTCTTATTTACAGCTGAAGGACATGAAGCCAGATGGGGAACCTTGAGCACTGTTGTTTTTCTGGATATCTGGTTCTGAGACCTTTGCCTCAGTTCCTTAGAGCTTTCTCACAAGGCCAGATGCTAAATCACACAGGCACGGTCCCACTGCTGGTTCTGTTCACAGGCGTACATACTCTACATATATTCAGATTCTATTTCTTCCTAATTCCTTATTTACTCTCCGGCAGCAATGAATATCTCCTGATTCCTTGGATTCTGTTCATTTCAACTCCTGTGTTTTAAACCAATAACTGATCATTTGGGTTTTTTTTGTTGTTGTTGTTTGTTTTTAACATTTTTATTAGCATATATTAGTTGTACAGGGAGTGACATTTCCACCTTGATTAGGCTCACCTCTGCCATCCTCCTCCCCCTGCTTAAAATGGTTTTGACAGGCCTCAGCGTTCTATTTTTTTTTTCATTTTTCTTTTATTATTCATATGTGCATACAAGGCTTGGTTCATTTCTCCCGCCTGCCCCCACCCGGGTTTTTTTTTTAAATACATGGGTAAGAACAGTAAATAGGCAGTCTACATCAAAGTGCAAAAATCTTTCCTATCGTTCTCAGACGTTAGGGCTGGTGGAATTAGAAGTCTGCTAAGCTTAACAATACATTTAGAGATTGCTAATAATTAGAACAATGTTAGGTAAGATACAAAGCTTAAAAGTAAGTGATATTTTTCTTAATGGTCTAAGGTAGATCAAGGTAATTTTGGCTTTCTACATGCAACATTCCATTTCTTGGAATCATAATGTTCTACTCAGTCAAGGTCAAATACTCCACAGGGTCTTTAGCATAGATGAGGCTTCTTCTGATGCATTTCATCAATTTACTTAGCTCTCTCTTGTTATAACATTTCTTCTGAGAGACATTGCCTTGGCATTTGTCTAAATAAGCTCTATTATAGATAACTCTTTCTCAGGAACCATGATTTATTTTTCCTCACACTACTTATAACTTCTGAAACTATTATCTATTTATGTTTTTGACTGCCCTCCTGCATTTGAACATTAGCCACATGAGAACAGGAATGTTATCTGTACTATGTCCCCAGAACCTGGAGAAATGCTTGAGTCATAGTGAATATGCAATATTGCTATTTTCCATTTAGGTTTTTTCCTTCTCACCCTTTTGTTACACTTGTTTTTACTTAAATCTCTTGACACATTTTTTAATTAGTAGTAACTGTATGAAATCATTAAAGACATGTAGTGTCAAAATATATCGTCTTGAACCAAATTTTAAAGCTCTAGGTTTGGAGAAAGCAAACAAGTTTGAATTCTAAGATCTGGCTAGTAATCAACATGTAAGAATACTCTGAATTTTAGTGGTAGCGTGGATAACAGATTTGTAACTAAGGTCAGGAATGGTTACAGGGACTGACAGACCTGATATATCAGTAGTCACCTTTTTGTCTTTGTTAGAGAGAGTATGGGTCTGTATATCTGTGTTTTTGTATTCATATGGCAATTCATATGGTTACCATTAATTTCATTTTATGTTCAAAGGAGGAAACAAGAAATCAAGCACTATCTCTTATGAGTTATTGGTTGTCAGGACTGCCAGACTTACCTGTGGAGGGGCATTGATTTCTGATCCTCACTGGAAGTTCACAAAATGGGAGAATTTATATCTGAAGAACTGTGAAGAAATCACCATGGGATGAAATTAAGATCTCCCTCTGGAGGTATTTACAAAAGTCACATCTTTAGCAACAATTTTTAATTTACATTTTTACTGTACAATATAATGGGTTTCATTATTACATTTTTAGACATGTATAAAGTGTGCTTTCATTATACTTCATTACCACCCTTTCCTGTTCCCCTTGTCCTCCCTCTGGACCCCACCAAACAGTCTCCCTCTCCAAATAGTCCCCCTTTTACTTTCATGTCATTTTGTTTGTTTGATTATAAATTAACCATTAGAAAAATGTAGTATTTCTTGACAAGTGCAAAATATGTAGTACTGATTTTGATATTGGGATTAATTCTGGGGTAGATAAAAACGTAATCCATTCTTTCTAATCAAAAGACTTGTCCATGATGCTCTTTCTCAAGTCCTCATCCTAAATAATGTTTAATTTTCTTCTGAAGTTCTGTGGTTGTCTTCTCTCTGCCTATTTTACAATACTTATTTAGTTTTATAATATTCTAATTTTTACTGGACTGTAAATGCTCAGAGAATGCAATATCAATTAAACTTTGGTATCTTCTGTGGAGATCTGCAGAATATTTTAGATTTATGCTTGATGAATAGTTGTTGGGTGAATAGCTAAATGGTAATAATTACTTTATTTATTTTTTATTGTTTTATTATTTATATGTGCATACAAGGCTTGGGTCATTTCTCCCCCCTGACCCCACCCCTCCCTTACCACCCACTCAACCCCCTTCCTCTCCCCCCAACTCCCTCAATACCCAACAGAAACTATTTTGCCCTTATCTCTAATTTTGTTAAAGAGAGAGTATAAGCAATAATAGGAAGGAACAAGTGTTTTGCTGGTTGAGATAAGGATAGCTATACAGGGAGTTGACTCACATTAATTTCCTGTGTGTGTGTGTGTTACCTTCTAGGTTAATTCTTTTTAATATAACCTTTTCTGTAGTTCCTGGTCCCCTTTTCCTATTGGCCTCAGTTGCTTTTAAGGTATCAGCTTTTAGTTTCTCTGTGTTAAGGGCAACAAATGCTAGCTAATTTTTTAGGTGTCTTACCTATCCTCACCCCTCCCTTGTGTGCTCTCGCTTTTATCATGTGCTCATAGTCCAATCCCATTGTTGTGTTTGCCCTTGATCTAATGTCCACATATGAGGGAGAACATACGATTTTTGGTCTTTTGGGCCAGGCTAACCTCATTCAGAATGATGTTCTCCAATTCCATCCATTTACCAGCAAATGACAACATTTAGTTCTTCTTCATGGCTGCATAAAATTCCATTGTGTATAGATAACCATATTTTCTTAATCCATTCGTCAGTGGTGGGGCATCTTGGCTGTTTCCATAACTTGGCTATTGTGAATAGTGCCGCAATAAACATGGTGTGCGGGTGCCTCTGGAGTAACCTGTGTCACATTCTTTTGGGTATATCTAATAATTACTTTAAATAAAATTAGCTCCACTACTAGTTAGTGTATTTAGACATAAGAACAGACTTAGCACACATCATTTACACAAAGATGTGTCATTCAAGAGATACATCAGTCCCACATGACACTTCCTCTAAGTTTATATTTGAAACCAGAGAAAAGTGGTAACATTTTGGGGTCAGACCATAAAAGTACTATTATGAATAACAACATTCGTAGTGCTCTTTTGCAGGACTGAGACAGTCTTCCTCACCTGAACTTCATTTCCCATTAATGCTTGAATAAAACCTGTAGATTATAACAAAGAGAAAATAGAAATAAAAACCCAACAACTGTACTCTAGCATAAGCGGAGAAGAAAGAGCAAAAGACAATTTAAGGCCTTAGAAGATCTTTTAAGACAAGCTGTCTCGATCTCTTTGCCTTTGTCAACTTCTTGGGTAAACAAAGCGAACTTTGAACTCAGCTTATTTAAATAGTTCCTACTTGTGTTTGGATCACTATTCCCCTACTTTCTACATGTCATGGTTGGTACTCATATTTTCATATTACCAAATTTTGTTTGGGAGTATGAGATTAGGTAAGGGTTCATGAATGGGACATGTTATTCAGTGAAGTTATGTCCTGCTTTGTAGACTTTCTAGGCCAGCTTAGAAGAGACCAAACGGGAAATCGAAAAGAGATCTATAAGCTCTGTGAGGACCAAGTTGTAGGTGGGTCAGCCAGGAATATTAGCAGGTTAAGTCTGGGAAATATTGAGAAAATGGCTTCGAGATGTCTGTTGGATGTCAGTGGAACAAATAGGAGCTAGGTAGATTAGAGGCCAGAGAGCAGTATAAGAAAAATGAATGAAGATCTAAGCCTCTTTTATACACTAAATGAGGCCTCCTAGGACACAGAAGGAGAAGAAAGTTGATCTGTAAATGACTGGAACTGTGCCTAAAGAGAAAAATCAATCAATGCATCATTTACTTCTCTCCTTTTAAAACTGTCTAAAGAGGTTTCATTTAAAACTGTCTAAAGAGGTTTCATTGTGATATTTATAACATACATATAATGTACTTTGATCGAAGTCACCTCATCTATATTACTCTTTCTTAACTCTCCCCCCTTTCTTTTTACAGTTTTAGATGAATTTCATTATTCTATTTACATACATATAAATATATATGGTATATGTATAGTATTCCCTGTTACTCCTTCTCCCCTCCTCCCACTCACTGGTGGAACCAAGCAGTCCCTTGTTTATGAACTTGTCATATCATTTTTTGAGATTATTTAAATCACTGACTCCTCCAAGTTGGAAGTGTAAATACACTTATGCATAATTACATTTTAGGAAGTTATAAAAACTTGTGGATTTGAAAGATATGTGTACAATTTTTCCTATGGAGAAGACTGTTGGGGGCACTTGATTATATTTTTCATGCCAAAAGGATGGGGTTGAGAACCAGGTTGATGAAGTTTCGAGAACCATGAATTATTAT